AAACATAGCGTCAAGAATTTCTAAAAAATACTATCCCCATACATGTCACACGGTATAATCCAATGCCCACTCATTAAATCCTTTTTCTAATACCTGACATATATTTTTTTAAGAATTGCTCTCCTTGTATAATTTCCTTTGTTGTGGTTTTAATTTCTTTTATTACTTAACTCTGCTTTCACAGGATACGCAACACTGAAGCGCTTATGTCTTTCCTTGACGTTCCACTTTCAAAAGTTTTTGTTTAAATTTTTACAGTTAAACCGTACATGTAGCGCTTCACAAATTGTCCTCATCCGATACAGAGTCTCTGTCACTCCAGTACTGCCTGTACTATTTGTACATACATGCACAACTCCGTGTGACATATTTTCTTGATTCCCCCAACATTTTTAGAGTTTATTCAGGGTTTTTCCTGAGTAAAACACAAAATTGCATCGTTATCTGCTGCTCCATGACGTTCTAAAACGTCATCGTTTTTTGTCGCTTTCAATAAGGACTACCTATCTTCTCAAAATGATTTCTTTTCAACAAAGCAAAATATAAATCATAATTTGGTACACGAATCAATGTAACAATTCTAAATTTGAATTTTTAAGTTGTTTCTCGTTCTTGCTCCATTTTGCAGAGAATATGACTATGACTACAGACATTATACAGTATAGCGTATTGTCTGTAAATCACTAAATTTTGACCTGCTCCGTGATCCGATTTTTGCATTTTTAAAATCTGGGTAAGTTTTGAATAAATCGTAATATTTTGGAAAAATTTAATACAAATGATTAATTTGGATTTATTGTAAAAATATTTCTACCAAATTTGGATAACATATGACGTCAAATAAGAAAGATATGACAGTTGTCCACGAACTTTTCGAACAACTCTCGTATAAGGGATAATGTATGTGTTTCCATGATAAAACAAAAGATTTTAACTTCATCAATTTCGATAAATTGAAAAAAATTCCATCACACTTGAATTGATTACTCAGTTCTCTAGTTTACATGTAATATTAGCTTTTCACCGATTTCATTACAGAAACAAAATTGACAAAAAAGTTAATTATCTTGTGTAGACAAAGCTTAACAAACAAAAATCAAGGTATGCAGGTATTCAATGTATAACGACCATATTCTGTACCTAGTAAATGAATGATACGATATATTTAATCATGGTAGCATTTTGAAGAAGTTATTAAATACAAATGCTCGACAAAGGAATTTACAAAATTTTGGTTAATTGCTCCTTGAATTTTACATTGAAGTCTAAGGGCAGTGCATGTTTTTATCAGATATTTTAAAAATTAATTTGACTCACAAACAAATCTCTTGGGAAAAATTTGCATAAACTCACTTTCTAAAACTTTGAAATAAAATAATCTATTTACTGCAGAAATTTTGGGAAATCAAAAATTTTCTTCTTTTCATCAAGGGCATATCACTTTTCGAAAACTTTTAACGTGCAAAATGACTGTCTCCTTACATGCTATCATTCTTGTGAATTTGGTCTATTTCTTTTTTTATCGTTATCTAGCAATGTGTTTTTAACTACTTTAAAACTATTTGAAATCGTTAAAAATTCCTTCATTATACATTGAATACCTTAACAACGTGAAAAGCATGCGCAGGAATAATAAATTTATTTATTTATTTTTATTTTTTTTTTTTTTTTTGGAAAGCTTTTTAGCAGACATGGTTTTGTTTTGATTGTTTTCCGCAGTATTGGTATATGATATCATATTTATATATTGAAAAGAATTATCGGTATTAAATAAGTAAATTGAAATCAGTATCCATCAAACAAATAAGTTAGTTTTCTTTTGTTGTTGTTTTTTATATCAAAGGATTCACGAATGTGACAGAAAATTACAACTAACAACTGGTCCTTTAGTACTTTAAAGGTTTATCTGACCTCCAGATTTCTGTATTATCTCTGACCTTGGGTTTTCGATATTCTATGGTCGAGAGTTTTCGGCCTTTAGCAGGAGGATCGGACGTCAACATGAGGACACTCCTAATATTTCTTGTTTTTTCTCTTTCTCTAAATAATGGTAACGTATATGCGATTTCCTGCTCTTTTTACCAACCATAAGACTTCCCTCCTCATATGATCTTTCAAAGAAGGATATAGTTGATGAAATGCATCTTTTAATTAAGAGTGTCTGTTACTCTTAAGAAACGATGGAAATTCTTTTCAAATTTGTATCTCATTTAGTCAAATATTGTAGCAATTGATTCGAAATTTATTGGAAATATAAATTTATTCCAAAAAATGTTTTGACGCAGAGATTTTTTTTTTAATTTTATTTTAATATAGCGAATACCATCTTTGTTTTTCTAGGGGTGCAACAAAATCGTTAATTATGTGTATTTTTGTCAACTTTTTTTGATTTTGAAAATTGCATGCCGAGTGCTTGCTTTAGACAATATGGTACATATATCATGCGCTATCATGGCTTAGCGGAGTCATATTCATTAAAAGGTTATAAAAACCTTGTGACCGATAAATATACAACTGTGTGGGCAGTTTTTCCTTTAAGAACGTCTTTTATCCAATAATGTAGATGTCTATTCTTTAAATGACCTTGGAATTACTGTACAACACGTGTCATTCTTAAATTTAAATATTACTTGTTGAATAACCTTACACTTGAATGTAATATTCTTTTAAGAGAGAGAGAGAGAGAGATAAGTTATTATTACTTTATATCACGTCAGCCTAAATAATCCTTCAATGTTATCAAAAGACTTGATAGACAATATTTTTCTCAAATATAATGAAAAGAGGAATGATCAGGGAAAAAAACCCTCAAGATCCATAACCAAGGACAGTGTATCATGTTCATGCTTCTGCAATTACAATGTACACATAAAATTAATGTATAGTACCTCAAGGTTAAAAATAAATTGCACATAGTATTATAACGTTATACACCAGTGTTTTTATGGCTTCATTTTCTAAGAATAATTATTACAGGTTTCGCGTCGGCGGAATCGTGTGACGACCCTCATAAAAGACGTGGTGAGTCTATGTACTGTGCTGACTTATGGTACTAGTGAAAATTCAAAACGTTTTAAAGAGAGATTTTGATAAAAAATTTCTACTTATATTACATAAACATCTGCGCTAAATTCATGAAATTGTTCAAGAGAATGTGCGATGTAAAACATAATAATCATTTATTTTGCATACTTATATACAGGGTTTTTACACACATTTTCGAAACTATTTAGAACATTATTTGATATAAGAAACAACCAACCAGTTCTTTTTAAGTGAAAAATGTATCCATTTATCAAAATTTGTGTTCTAGAATTGTACTATTTAATCCATTCTATTATCGCTTTTATACTATGAATAAGCAAAGAATTAACACCTGCAGAAAAGTTTTTGATCTATAATATTAGAATGAAGATAAGTACTTTTTATAAAATTCTGAAGATTTTGAACCCTGTGCGACATGCAATTAATTGTGAAATCTGTTTAATTTTACATTTATTAATTACGATTTATATGCTATGAGAAATGAGCAAGAGCTAAAAAGATTTCAAATGACCAGCAATGTTATGCTACTCTCTAATCTTTTGAAAACACATTCATATGTATGGCACGCCAAATTCACAAAAATGAGATAATCATAGTTTCACAATCGATAGAGAGAGAGAGAGAGAGAGTAAACTATAGTTTACAAACCGTAAACTATAGTTAACAACGTTAATCTATATTTCACATCTGTAAACTATAGTTAACGCGATAATCTATGTTTCACAACCTTAAACTATACTTAACACCGAAAACAATCATTTGCGATTGCAAAACATAGATTATCTGATAAATACAGTTTCACGATTTGTAAACTATAATTTACAAACCGTTAACTATAGTTAACGATCTGATAAATATAGATTTCACAATTTGTGAAACTATGATTAACAACTCTGAACTATAGTTTTTTGATTGTAAACTATAGTTTACAAACGTGAATCTATGTTTATCAACAAAATCTATTGTTAACGCTTTATTACAGACAGATAAACTTAAATTAACATTCGTAAACTATAGTTAACAACCGTTAAATATAGTTTTAGAGATGAAAACTATACTTAACGAATCGTTAACTATACTTAACGAATCGTTAACTATAGTTTACGGTTTGTAAACTATAGTTTACAGTCGATAAACCTAGTTTATCAAATGTGAAACTAGGTTTATCTCATTTTTGTGAATTTGGCGTGCCATACATATGCTCTTTCTGTTCATCTATAACCTTACGAAGTATTATACAAATTTTGATAACCTTCATGCATTTGGATGGATAATGATTTTCTTGCATTTTTGTTTCTTTTTCATTTCTTTCTATGTAAGATAAGAACACTAATTTTCTTATGTTTAAAAAAATATAATAAAAATACGTTTCGGAAAAAAAAAATTTCTACAAAATTTGAATTCATTTTTTACAAAAAAGAGAACATGTACATTGGATTTGCTTTGTCATTTATAATAATAATATTAAAATTTATTTTCATTTTCCCCTGAAAGAAATTTACCACAAGTTGAGTGAGTTTGTGTCATCAAATGAACCAAGCAGTTTATATAGTAAGTATTGATATTTTATATTAATGAATTTTGAAAAACAAAAGCATCCCTTAAAAGAAGGAGAGTATTTATGAAATGTGTCTGGTATGTTTTTAAATGGAGATAATGTTCGTAAATATAGTTTTTATAAAAAAATGTTTTGATTTAGTGTTAAAAGAGTTTATTCCTTACTCAATTTTTCTGAAAATAAATAAATCGCAAGATAATGAAGCACGAGACGTCTACCTGTGAAACGAAATTCATAGGAAATCAAATGTGTTGCATCAAAAACCGCTTGTATTATTCTTCAAAAAGATTTTGAGAAGATAGGAAAAATTGCTGTGTTCAATATAATTATATAATTGTATAGTAAAATGAGAAATAATTGAGATATATTCATTTTTAAAACCATGAACTTATAAATGATGTCTCAGCGCCTCTGTAATAATGTATTTTGTAATGTTAAATGGATATGTATGTTTGTACATGCACAACTTGTATTAAAGGCCTTCATGATGAATTGTTGACATCGAACTTTTATTATTTTAGTTGTCAAGCAAATCTACACAGACATGCTGCTTTATGACTTTAGACATCACCATCAACCACAGCCTGTTATTGGGAAAAGAGGTAAAGAAATTAACAATTTCTAGAACACAAACCCACATGAACCAAAAGATGTAAAGAAATCAACAATTTCTAGAACAAAAACCCACATGAACCAAAAGAAGTAAAGAAATCAACATTTTCTAGAACACAAACCCACACAAACCAAAAGAGGTAAAGAAATCAACAATTTCTAGAACACAAACTCACACAAATTCTTCTTTATACAAATAGAGGTAATGAAATACACAATTTTTAGAACACAATTTCACACAAATGCTTCTTTATACAAAAAGAGGTAATGAAATAAACAACTTCTAGAACACAAACCTCACACAAATTCTTCTTTTTTTACCAAAAGAGGCAAAGAAATTTATTTCTAGAACACAAACTCACATAAATTCTTTTCTCGCCAACAGAGGTAAATAAACAATTTCTAGAACACAAACTCCTACAAATTCTTTTTTTTTTGACAAAAGAGTTTGAGAAATAAACAATTTCTAGGACACAAACTCACATAAATTCTTTTTTCTTTTATAAAAAGAGGTAAATAAATAAACAATTTCTAGAACACAAACTCACATATTTTTTTACCAAAAGAGGTTAAGAAATAAGCAATTTCTAGAACACATCCTTCGGACGAGAACAGTAAACCAATGCTTCGTGTCGCAGAAGGTGCTTGCACGAAAAAGATCCCTCCCTGCTCAATGGCCCTAAATGTCGAGTACAGGACAAAATTAACAGCTCTCCACCGGCACGTGCTGGCGTCTCCACATGAGTGAAGAATTCTCGAAAGGGTTGTTAACTATCAAAACAAAACAAAAATTTGAAGACATATCGAACAAATTTTCAGCTCAAATGTTCGTTAAACACAATAAAAAGTATTGGTTGACCGTGCAGATCAAACACAAGACTCGAAAAATATAAGCTGCTGATCTGTAGCTATATTGACAGAACGGTTGTAGAGCTACACTGAGATCTGCAGCTAGGAAAATATGAGAAGTGGAATACAGGCATCGCCTGTCGACCGGATAAACCCGCCTTGTGTGTGCTCTATCATGTCTGGGCAAACGAAAAAAATGTAGACGATTCAGTGTGAAAATTATGGCCTAATAATTTGGTTTCATGAGTGTCTGACGAGGTTATTATGTCGATCATGGAATTTGCCGGAAAAAACTTTCAAGTAGAAAGCCAAAATCTTTTAAAAATCCAGTAAAGAATTGTTTAAAGATGACTGGGTGGTTATGAACATTTTCAGACAATATTGAATTCTTTTAGGAGAAGACCTCCATATAAAGATATACAAAATTTATAAAATTTAAAACTTAAACGTATGAATTTTTTCTTTGCGAATGATAGTTGACAGCTTAAGATAAAAAAAATTAGTTATATCTTTCTGTTAATTTGACCCCCTGTCTTTTTAAGAGCATTGTTCTAAGATATTTTATTTTGATTCATATTGGGGAAATATGATGAATATTTCTTATCAGAATTATCTGTCTTCGAAACAAATATCCTTGTTTTCTGAGAGGGGAATAAATTTTAGGAAGAAATTAGCCAATTTTATGAAAAAAGCAAGAATTTAGATAAATGTAAATTTTAGATGCAGGTACTTTAAAAAATACCAAAATGATGACAATCTTTGCCGATATGAATAACAAATGAATCTACCTTTAACTGATTTTTTTAATTTTAGAGACTAATATAGATCGAGAACTAAGGGCACCGCATCATGGTAAGTCTCACTTCGCTTTCCCATGCAATGAACAGATTATTGTTTATTTTTACGCCGAGCCGGCAATATTTCGGCGGTCATATCCAAATTTATTCAATGAACTGGAATACCTTTTTTCTCTGATTGAAGTTTAGTACGTGTCTCATCATCTTTTTGTAGAACACCATCATCACATAGAGGATGAAAGTAGGTATTTTTAAATGGATGGGTTAAAGGTAATCAAATGGTAAAGGACATTATACTAAATAATCTAAAATTGGTGGATGGTTGGATAAAATACAATCCTATTACAAAGGACTTTATCGTAAGAATACTTAACTGGTTAGATGAAATATAATCCGATAGTTAAAGATAGACATTCTTAAATGGGTGGATGACTTACATGAGATAACGAATTCGAACAGTATTCAACAAAAGCCAAATTTACAATACAAAATTAGAGCAGAACAATGCTCATCAAATATAGGGTCAGGTGCCATGGAGAAGTGAGCATCCCCTGCTGACCGGTCACACCCGTCGTGTGCTCCTTGTCATGATCGGGAAATAAGGGAAAAATCAGATGAATTATGGAGACAGCCAACATTCATTCAGCTTAAATATCCATTGAAATAATATAACCTGGAAGCAAAACATCTCTTTCGTGTTTGGATGTTTAACAAGAAAAAGGCTTTATCCTATCAGCAAATCTTTCCTATCGTCAACTTTTCGTACTTACACTGTATGTACGATAAAACATTTCGTTGTTTCCATATCTAATTGTTGAAAGAGAGGCATAATCAAGACAACAGATTTTGTTGCATTTAACTACGTAATTGTTCAAACGGTACACATGTATCTAGGGTAAAGTCCTTCTTCGATGACGACGACTTATTTGGTTATATTGTATCTTTTACTGTCTATAACGTTTATTTTGAACTCAGTGAATATCGTTGTATTTTGGGATTCCTTTCAGTTGAAAAGATCGAACGGGAAATGACTGAACACATGAACATTATCTGTTTGTCACAGTTGCTCTGGCACATAGAAAGTAAGTTCCATATAGGAAAACTACCATAGTTCAATTTAACATATTTTGCATATTTTCATTTGCCTACAGATATTAACATTATGTAATTCTACATATTTTCAATCAGGGGAAAAACTATGCTAAACATACTCCAAATTAAACAAAAAGGAGGGAAATAGTTTTCTTGCTTCAGTGTTCCATTCTTATAGGTTTAATCATTGTATATTCAAATACATTAATTAAAATAAGCATTATTTGATAAATGAACATATAAATATTAGATTTATTTATTGAGAATTAGAAATATATATTCCCAACATTTTATTTGAATCATTGATTTAAAAAATGGCAAAAAAAAAGAATGCACCCGGTCAATACAAATCCCTCCAAAATTATCTTACATTAAAACTTAGTTTGATTAACGTTTTTAGAATTGGTTCTTTTTTTTTTTTTAAATATGGAACTTCTTGAATAAAAGAGACAGATCCATTATCGAAACAACTTTTCAAGTGTTTATAATTTAGAATTTTATATGTTTCTTTTCTTCTACAAATAACAATCCAAAAACAAGCCTTTCTGAGAGTAATGTGTCGTTTTATTTGTTTGTTTTTTTTATTATTATCATTTGCTTTTTAACATTTTACTTGTTTTGGTGTGCAGTTTTGTTAAGGTTACCACATGCAGTATCGACTCATCCCACAACCGCGCACACCACACACCCCACCCATAAAGTTACCACCCCTACCACCACAACCACCATTAAACCAACTACAACTACAGTGGCACCATCTACCACATCTCGGCCAATTATGTTAAATATTTGTGAGTACCCACAATGCCACATGCATGTTGTCTATATGGTACATTGAGGATATTTTAAACGTTACGCCAACATTTTTAAAGCATTTTTGTAAATTAGCCAGCTTTTTAATTGATATATCAACACATTTGTATTATAGAGATATAGAACAGTATAACAAGCTCAAAATCTATTAAAACAAAACAAATCTGGTGTAGATCAAACACCGTCCTATTAAAAACATCAGAGGTAGGATCAAATGTCATGGAGAAGTGACGTGAACATCCCATGCTCCTTGTCATCATTGGGAAAAAACAGAAAACTCCATGAACAATTTTATGTGTAAATAATGACCTAACAATGAGTATAAAAACGTCAGCCAGCAATTGACTCAATAATAGGAAGCTTTTGCTGACAATGTCTTTGTATCGACAATAAAAATTGCATCATGAATTTAAACGAGACTTTTTATACAGTTGTTTCATCACATTGTTTTTTAATTGCATTCTCTTGCTTATTGATTCAAGTGAGAGTTAAAGAAAACTTATTTTCATTAGTAAAAAAAATCTTATTACCTATTAAATTACACACAAGTACTCTGATGTTGATATTTAAAAAGGTGTTTGAATTTCTGATTGACAAATATGTGGTTTTTGGAAACCAGGTCTTCCAACAATCGTTTGGAATTCCCATGGGTACAAATTGCGTCCCCTTTTTGTAAACCTATTTTTGTATTCATATTTGTAAACCGACTTCGCAAAATGGTATCGTAAAATTTAGGCAACCGGAGATGAGATGAACCTTAATTGTAGGGATGCCAAAGCATTACTAGGCAACGAGTAAAACATTCCTATATCGTTTGAGAGAAATAGTCAACGTTGTTTTGCAACATTTTTGAATATTATCCTTATATCAGAGTGCAATTAAAAGTTACTTGTGTGAATGAGGTACACTTAGTATTTGCATATGAAAAACAAATATTTTATAAGTTTTTTTGAACATAAATACAAGTTTGATAGTGAAGTATTCGCCAGTAATATACATGTCATTTTATGTTCTAAAAATATATTTGATCGTAAAAATTTGTAAGCTACATGTAATTGCTTTTATTTTATCTATCTAAATGATTCTGTGAAAATTAAAACTCGATCTATACATGTAGTATCCTCATCTTTCTCCCTGGATGTATGGCTAGTTTTACACTGTATATTTATATAATGCAGATTTAAAATTAAGGAAACGTTACAATTATCTGTAAATATTTCAGCCAATTCTTGTGATCATTTACTGTTTGTTCGTTCGCTGGCCATCGGAAAACCTTTGGTGAGTTCTGATGCAGGGAGGTGTACCGACCTAACAAACAGCCAATCAGAAGCATTGTTACTGGCCACGTGTGGAGCCGAACCGCCTAAAATGTGGACACAAGGACAAAACGTAAAGCAGCTCCCTAATAAATATCACCTTATCACATAGTTTTCTAGTCAATCCTGATAAATGATAATCTTTGAAATAAAAAATATAAATGTTAAAAGGGGTGAGAAAAAAGTCATACAATTTAAAAGTCTATGACAAGAGAATTCAGTTAAAAGATTTGTCCTAAGATAATTACCACAACGGAGTTGGAGGGAATATAGTGATACGCTTGTATGTGGGGATGGGATGGTAAGTTTGTCCGTAGGTTTGTATGCTGGAAGTGACTTAAATTGCATAGCTATAGATGCAAATGCTGCCTTGATTTATCGATGTCTTTTGCAACGGGATGTTCCCTTCTTGTTGTTTTAATTCTAAAAAGTTCTATATCTATTTAATTCTGCACCATTGATTTTACGCTCGTAGGTGATGCAGAACTGCAATAGAATCCCTAAATTCACACCTATTTCTACTTTCCTTTTCGGACAATACGCAACAGACGGCACCGCCCTATCAGGGGTGTTTATCAAATGCACGGCGGAGGGATTCCAGGTGAGTATTTTTTTTATTTCCAAAATTTCAAAAAAGGTTTTTCTTTATAAACTGATTTCTGAGACAAGTCAAACACATTACATTAAACATAAATAACTATAATTGAATTTTTTAAATACATTTTAACAATTTTTGTTTGATATTTTTGTGCTTCCCATTGACGGGGTTTTAGGGCAACATGATTTTTTGTCGGACCCAAAAATGAAAAGTTTTTTTAAGGCTGTCATGTCGATGGCAACATCCTAAAAACAAACACAAAAGTTAACAATAGTTTACTATATAGTTAATCAAAGTGTCAAAGTTTTTACAATAGCTAATCAATGATCCAAAGTTTTCACTATAAATAAATCAAAATTGTAAAGTTTTCAAATTAGTAAATAAAAGTTTCAAAGTTGTTACTTTTATACAATAGTTAACAATGGTAAACTATAGTTTATTTATTATGGCAGTGTCGTTCCAGCTAGAAAAACTGCATTCTTCCAGAACAACCAGCCATTTTTTTCTTATTTTTTTTTATCATAATCTTAAGGTATCTGTATATGTTTGCAATTAAGATGAGGGAAAATTATGTAAATCCAGTAATGCATCTTAATCTTGGTCATCTCGGTAACTGTCGAGCATCAGCAAAATTAATGCAGAATAGATACATGATGCACAGGTATATCTGATCTCGTCCATAATAAGGGTCCAACACCTCATCAAGCGATCCAATTTTGAATATTTTGGACCGCTCGGTAAAACATTAAAAAACTAGATTTTTTGGTCTTGGAAACATTTTAAAAGGTTTAACAAAAAACGATATTGCCTACATGTACTTTGTGCATAAACTTTAAAGTCGTTCCAGAGGACTATTCAACAGAACAAACGTTCGCGAGTGCTCGCCAAAATTCCTTATACAACTCCAACAGAACGGGTCTAGGGTCTCTTCCAACACCATATCAGTCATGCCTATTCATTAAGTTTAACTATCATTAATAAAGGTTTATGTCTAATTTAATGTCGTTTGTTATCGATACATCACAATCTGATCCTAACCAGGCATTTTTTGTTTTGTTTTTAGATGGCTGCTCAAATTTGTGGCCACGGACCGCAGATATTCGAGTTGAGATCTGAAGTAGGAAAAACCAGAGAAAATGCCGACAGTTATTATATTGTACAATGGTGAGATAAAAAATAAATTTTAAAAAAAATCTCAGGCTAAGTATTATGTTTTTCTTCATGAATCAACAGAAGTTATCAGACAGAACGACAACATACTGCAGTGTATAGAAATATGTATGTGTCAAACATATTGATAGAAGAATAATCATTAAAGTTTATTATTGAAATAAAACATATGGAGACAACGAACAGTTTTCAAGGCAAAAATCCATAAAACAATACAAAACAGGGAAATCCAAAACTTGGAAAAGACGCAGTGTAACGTGATGACTTTAGCATTTCTATCGTCAACTTCCCTTACTTATGCAGCAATATACCTTCATCACCTGCATACGGAGTTTAAATCTCTCAGTTGATTGATACACAGGAACATGCTCTACGTATGAACAATATCTAAAATGTGGTAAATTATTGACAAACAGGTTGATGAAACAATTAATTTCAGCAATCTCGTTAAAAAGTCATCATTTCGTCAGTTCTATGGTCGATACATATAAAGCCTTGTCAGCAAATGCAATCTATCACTAAATCAATTGCTGACTGACGTTTTTCATACAAATTACTATTCCATTATTTATACACTGGATTGACGACGGATTTTCCCGTATTTCCCGATCATGACAAGGAGCACACGGCGGGTGTGACCGGTCGGCAGGGGATACTCACTCCTCCATGGCACCAGATCCTACCTCTGATGTTTTTGAGGTCCGTTTTTGCTCTGCTCCTAGTATGTATTGTCTTATGTATTTTTGATCTTGAATACTGTTCATTATCTCCATATGTTTCATTTTATATTCATTTCATTTATTGTCATGTGTTAGACATTTGAATTGTGTCCTTATAGTATTTGCTCTCTTCTGAAAATGATAAAGTTCTGTTCATTTTCTCCACATCTTGTCTCATGATCAGCAAATAAAAATCCGTAGACAACCTAGTCTGTAAAGTAGCCTAACAATCCATATGAAAATCGTCAGTAAATGACTTTTTACTTTATTTTATTTTATTTTTATTTTTATTGACTATAAAACTTGCAAAAAAATGGCTTCAAAACGAGTGTTGATATCCTTATTTCATCAGTTTGGTTGAAAAGAATTTGATTCGCTTTTAGGGAAATTGCTCATACGTACAGCATGCCCCTGCGTATCGAATCAAGTGAGAGGCGTAAACTCCGTATGCACGGACTAAGGATTTATTTCTTTATACATGTATGTATAGGGTTGTTGACGATTGAGAAGTCATTACGTATACAGCATTGCTCTTTGTATTTGTTTGTGTTATGAAACATGTGATTATATTGTTCCCTTTAACTGTAAATACTTTTTATGAGAATTTCACAAAGAATTTTAAATAACTTTAATGTCATCTGATCTCAATTGTATGATAAGAGACATTGCTTGAAACATGAACGATAACTCGCACAACTTATGAAGCCTTTATTTTCGATTCTTTGCATTACTTTGAATTCTAATATAAGCAGCACGTAATTTGCGATTATTCTTTTCATATATAGACAATGATTCAGAACAGAATATCATATTACTGTACATTAAAGCGGTCCATTCTTTTAAAATGAAAGTAGAAATCTTGTCTATTTTTAACCATGGGATTTTTGGTCAACACGGAAGCAAAAAGCTTTTTTAAAGAAGAAGAGATATTATATTTATAAATCGTAAGTGTTCACAATTTAGTTTTTTAATTAAGTAAAATATATATCTGATATTGCCAAATAGCTGTCGAAACCTCGTCTTTAAAATCTTGAAACAACTTGAAGTAATTCAAGAGTATTACAAAACATAAAATATTGTATATGAATAGTAACAAGAATTCAAACGTAATACAAGATAAAGATAAATTAAACGTTAATCATTTAAATACATAGATATTAAATTAAATACATTGTTTCCTTAAATAGGAAAATGATATAAACAGACTTTACGTCATATACCATATATCACACGATTATACCGTCACTTCAGCAAAGTAATGGCATACCTGAAACGTGAAGCAGGTGGGCCTCCGCCTACCCCTATGTCATTCTCTCAGTTCATCAAAGAGACAACTGAAAGAATCCTGGGTAGTGAGAAATGTTTGACACTATCTGAACTGACGATGGCTATCAAAAACGACCCCCATTGTAGGTATCTCCAGCTAAAACCGCTCACACTTCAGAAGATACTACAGGGCTACTCGGAATCCTTCAGTCTTAAAGGGTCACAAGAGGACCCGGATGTTTCACTTCACCTCAACATCGACGTCTGTGACAATGTGAGGAACTGTCCTGGTTTTCCGCAATGCAAGGATCTCCACATCTGTAAATACTTTATGCTGGACAACTGCATTCATACGAAGAAAAAAACTAGAAAACCCTGTCCCTATCCGCATACACTGAGTACCAAGCACAATAGGAAAGTGCTGCAGCACCATCATCTTCAGTTTATGGACCTACCGACCATCAAGAAAATAATAAAGGAAGAGACCGGGAATAAGACACAGAGCGTCACCTCCTCCACGAAGGACCACGTACCATTAAAGCTCTGTTATTACTACAACCGCCGAGTCTGCGAGAGAGAGGACTGCTCTTATCTTCACCTGTGTGAATTTTATGTTAAGGGCACCTGCAAGTTTGGAAGACGATGCAAAAAGAGCCATAATGTAAATTCACGCCAAGTTCAAGGTAATTGATAAATATTTCTTTCCGTATGTTTTTCAAGCTTGACCAAATCCCTGTTTTAAAGATATACATAGATTATTTTTTTCAACTTTTGTGAATCTTTAAATCTTAAATATGTATCTTTGCTGCAAAAAGAAATTCTGTCGGACAATGATCTTGACCTGGATGGGGATGAGGACGAAATTCTGAGGAGCCTGAGAGAGGAGCTGTACGGGGGAAGTGATGAGGAGGAGGATTCAGAAGAGGAGGAAGAGGAGCAGATAGAAGTGTCCTCACAACACTCCCCTCCCAGGAGGTTCAGTATTAGAATGTCAAATTTTAAAATCAGTATTTACTTTATTTTTGGTCAGTGCAGATGATGACTGGTTTTTGATAAGACTGTGTTTGCAGTAAGTCTGTAGTTAATTGAAAAGACAGATTGCAAATTATTCTACATTTAGAATCACTTTAATAGTACCCAATTGCTTGTGATACTAAACCTGTTGTCTGTTATAACACTAGTAATGTATAAACTGATTTTTGTAGAAGCTATACAAACTTCAGACGAGGAGATCGGCATTGAGATGCGGACGGAATTCTTTCTGTTAGAAACAAAATACCTGTAAAAGGTAAGTAAATGGTAAAGTGTCTACAATAAGATAGGATACCTAAAATGTTTTGTTGTAAAACAAAATTTGTAAAACCCTATACCAAAATATTTATTTTTTATGAATACATCTCGGAAAAACTTATAACCAGGCAAAATATTTCCTTTGATTTGTTTTTGTGGATTTTTGGATCATGAAGAATCAGGTATATAGAAACTTTTATTTTGCTCTCTTTCAGATTAAAAGAAAATGAAAAGGAAGTCTTGGTCCGCGTTCTGATGGTTCGTGAGGAACAACTTTTTAAAAAGAAAATGCAGAGTGAAATATTTCAATTCATCAAAAGATTGTTTCCTCATATCATAATGTATCTCACAAGTTTAATTATATTAATTCAATGACAAGCACTTTTCATTCGTTGCATTCGTAAATCTTGAGACTAACACCTCATATGTCATCCCCGTCTGAAATCTGTTTCTATATATACATGTAGAAAACTTCTTAAAAGGGGGGACCATGTAATGTTTAGTGTGATGTTTGATATAATGTGATATTGTCGTATCTGACCTAAATTATCTTTATACTCCAAACTATTGAACAATGAAAGACTGAAGAATAGAAATTTATCCGTCTTTTGGACAGAAAGATGATGAGCCCTTAAATATTAGGCTCCATCATTCAAATTTAGAAGATTTAACTTTATAAGGCATAGTTCAGATCTAAGAGTATTATAGAGGCACCATGGAGATGAATGAATGAGATGATTTATCAGTCAAAATAAAACAAAAATCAAAATAGAAGGACGAGACTATTGTTGCTAGTCATCAATTGTCCAAATATATAATAAGTACCTGCCTATGACACAGGAAACGCGGGACTTTGTTACTGAAGCAGAAAAATAGAACCAAAAAAAATACTTTAAGACTTGAATATGCATGCTTCGCAAAACTTACATGTACTGATTTTATATATTCATTATTCTTATTTAGTTATTTTTATCATGCTTTATATAGAGTATCGGTTTTTTGTTGAATATAATTGTGGTATCAATAATTTTTATGTGGATCAAATTTCGTGGTTTTGGATACAAATAAATGATGTGTTAAATCGTGGACAGCTCTTTAATGTAAAACTCTTAGTTATTAATTTTTTTTTTTTTTTGCAACTTTGATCAAACATTTTGATATTCTTTAACATCGCAATCAGCGAACATTGTGTTCAGCAAATAAATTATGAAACCACAGTGTTTGGTTGACAAATTTATGTCATATAAAAAATCCAGGCAAATGATATGACACCAACGAAGAGTGATTAAACCAATTTGTATACTTGTATAGATAAATAAATTGTTTGTAAATCAATTCAAATGTCAATTGCATCTTTCTATATCTTTGTGCCATATAATATATTCAAGTGACCAAATATTTTTAACCTTTTAATTTTGAATCTTTTTTATCTAAGTTATTGAATGAATAAATGAATCTTGAATAATCTTACTTTTTTGTGTTATGTATCAACGGTGATATTTAATTGAAGTGTTTTTATAAAAAAAATGTTCGTATATTTCGATAAAGTAAATACATGAAATATATGGAGAAAACGAACATTTTTCAAGCTCAATACAAAGCGTAAAACGTCCAAAAATTTGAAAGTATTTGGGATATCTCAAGTCCCGAGCTTAGGAACACAACACAACTTTAGTAGCCCCCATTATCTCCAGTCCTCTTTCAATAATGATGTTCATAATGCTATTCTTTTCCTATTTGCTGATCTTCAACTTGGCTTGATCCTTACGTTTTTGCTTTGATAGTAAAACCTACAAAAAATATTAGTAAAAAATCAAATTAAAACAAATGTAATGGACAGAAATTTAAATCTTAACACTAGAGAAAGAAACAGTCCATGAGAGAGGCAAGCTGAGAAAACCTCTGACATATAAAAGATAGATCAACAGCAAGTTTAACACATTTAAATGAAGTACAAGTACACTGTACAAGTAACATAAATTTACCTTGTACCACTGATCAAATCAGTGATTCTTTTCTGTTGGAAGTTAATGTTTTCTCCGTGTGATTGAAAGTCTTTTTAACCTCTCCATCATTTTCTCTGTCATAAATAAAAGAATTTCAATTATTAATTGGGTTTCATGTAAAAGCATACTAATAGTATGTACTATATCCAAGATTTGTTCGTGTGTAGAAGACACACACAACATACTATTCGTAACTCAATAATAGTACAGGATATATGACCTCTTTGTTGAAATTGATCATCCATTAATATATCCATTATTTTATAACTGTATTATGAATAGTCAAGCTGTATTAATTAATGATGGTGTACATTGTATCTTTTAAATTCAGTAAAGAATGCGAGATCCTAAGATAAGCAAGTACTGCATGCTGATATTGTTTACCTTTCTCGTCATGCTCATTTTGTGTAAATAAAAACATACAAACATTCTAAATCAGTTTTCAAAAAGCCTCCCTCGTGTATTTCACTTTTTCTGCAACGGTTGTATCTTGAATGTCTATCATTTTGCTAGGAAAAACAGCTTTCTCCTAATCCTGTGATTTTCTTTGTTCAACAACCGCGCTAGATAAGATAAGATAAGATAAGATAAGATAATATTTATTTAAAGTCAGGTACATCAACAAAGAATATTAGCTCTGAAGAGCTATTTTCCGACTAACTAATGTTTGAATATATCTCGATCATTTCCGGGAAGACAACTCCGTATTTCACTGACTGAAGAATGAAACACGTTTAATTTCTAAACGTGTTAAGGTATTAAATACTTTGGACCGAAGTGTTTAGTTGTTAAACATATTATTAAACATGTTTAGATATAAACATGTTATGGTAGTGTTTAATTTCTAAGCACATTTTTTTACAGTGTAGTCTATTTAAACAATAAAAATAAGTGCAAATAAAAAAACAGTCCTTTGAAACGGCAAAAAGAGAAAGCATCCCCTGCCGACCGGTTTGGCCGTGATAGGGAAATAACGGGGAAATCCATCGATAATTCAGCGGATGAATGAAACATGAGATAACGAACATTATTCAAGATCAAAAACTCCATAAAACAATATAAAGCAGGAGCACAGCAGCAAACACGGACCTCCAATACATCGGAAGTGGGATCAGGTGCCATGGAGGAGTGAGCATCCCCTGCCGACCGGTCACATCCGCCGTGTGCTTCTTGTCATGATCGGGAAATAACGGGAAAACCCGTTGTCAATTCAGTAATGTATCGACAATTCGCATGAAAAACATCATTCAGCATTTGACTCATTTTCATTTTCCATAAATGAAAAATAAGATGCTTGAGTTTCTGATTGACAATATCTATGTGGTTTTTGGATGTACCAGGTCTCCAAACAATCTATTGGAATTCCCATGGGTACCAATTGCGCCCCGTTATTAGCATGCCTATTTTTATATTCATGAAGCAGAATTTGTGCAAGATCTTATGCGTGATAAGAAGAAAACACTTGCCGAGGCCTCCAACTCGACATTGAGATGTACATGTGTCGACGACATATTGTCAATTAACATGGTAATTTCCATTCTTATGTCTATACGATATATCCTGTTGAGCTTGAGATATAAGATACCACAGAGTCTGACATATCTGTTTCATATTTGGATATTTTACTAGAAAAGGACGTTAATGGTAATCTAACAACCAAGCTCTGTGATAAATGTGATAACTTGAACTTTTCTATCGTCAACTTTCCTTACTTTTGCAGCAATATACCTTCATCACATGCATACGGAGTTTATGTATCTCAGTTGATTCAATACTCAAGTCAAGAGCATGCTCTACGTATGAACATTTTCTAAAATGAGATAAATTATTGACAAACAAGTTGATGAAACAAGAATATCAGCAATCTCGTTAAAATTCATCATTTTGTAAGTTCTATAGTCGATACAACCTTGTCAGCAAATACTATTTAACAATGAGTCAAATGCTGCTGACTGGTGTTTTTCATACTAAATGTTACATGTACTCCATTCTTTATACGCTGAACTGATGACGGATTTTCCCGTTATTTCTCAATTATGACAAGGATCACAATGCGGGTGTGACCGATCGGCAAGGGGTACTCACTCCTTATGGCACTTGATTCCATCTCTGTTTTGGAGGTCCGTGTTTGCTCTGCTCCTATTTTGTATTGTTTTATGGACTTTGATATTGAATACTGTTCGTTATCTCCATATCCTTCATTGATGTATGATGGAATACAAGACTGGACCCTTTTCTGATTCGGAATATTATTTGTATTACCCTCGTCAATTTCTTTATTGGCATATTGAAGTTTAAGGAAAAGAAGATATTCTGGTATCAAAAAATCAAAAACGGGCTTCCCTTGACCTTTTCAAGAAGACTATTTAAAAGTTTCAAAGGGAAAGAGTAGAGCTTGGTGCGAATACGATGTAGACCTAACTGCTGATTTACATAAGGTAGTAATGAATCAAAAGAGACACTGTATATTAAAGGTTTATTGTAAGAACGATTCCAATGACTACACTTACGTATATGGTTAAAAAGTCCCATCACACGAATTCATTACATGAATTTACATATTCAAATGAATATAATAGTCTAACAGTTAGTACGAAAATCGTCAGTCAGCATTTGACTTTATGATCGATTGCATTGCATTTGCTGACAAGGTCATTGTATCGACCAAAGAACTTATGAAAATGATGACTTTAAACGAGACTACTGATATTCTTTTTCATCATCTTGTTTCGCAATATTAACGTACCTCGTTTTAGAAATAGTTCATACGTAGAGCATGCTCTTGCGTACTAAGTATCGAATCAACCGAGAAATATAAATCCTGTATGTAGGTTATGAAGGCATTTTGCTGCATAAGTAAGAGAAGTTGAAAATTAAATTTAAAAGTTATTTAAGCCATAACGTTTAATTATCATGAAGCTTGGTTGTTGAATTACCATTAACGTCTTCTTTAAGTAAAATGGGAGAATATCTCTTAACGCACATCTTCGCTAGCCAAGGGTTTTCGGTCCGCAACGCTCCCCATCTTCGCTAGCCAAGGGTTTTCGGTCTGCACCGCTCCCCATAAACGGGAGCGGTGCGGACCAAAAACCCTTGGCTAGCGAAGATGCTTAACGCACTGTAGATTCATTTTATTTTAAATCATAACAACCTGGGGTAGGGAGGTGACACAATGGGGGATCAAAATTTTACAATGAAATATATTGAGATAACGAACAGTGTTCAAGCTCAAAAGTCCAATAAACAGTATACTCAGCTATGTTAAGGAAGGTCAGATTTCACATTCCTTGTACATCGTATTGAAAGTTTAATTGTGACGTCATTGAAGTTTAACACGCCACAAAAATTAATTAAGGTAGGTCACTCGTCAGCTTTTTGGAAAAGTTCACGCAGGCCCTCTTACTTCAAAACTATTTATCAAAATTCAATTTTTATAACATATTTAATTTTAACAATGTCGATGGTTTAACATTCAACGAAAAAACTGCTCAAAAAAGCTACAAAGAAGCAAGATTTGTGAGGGACTATTTTTAGTGGTGGAAGGATATTTAGCAGATAAGTCTGAAAAAAAATCTAAATTTAATATCTTGGAACTTTAGACTCACATACTTTTACTCACAATTCAGTGTATAAATAATGGACTAACAATTAATTGGTATGAAAATATCAGTCAGCATTTGACTCAATGATAAATTGTATTTGCTGACATGTTCATTGCATCGGCCATAGAACTTACGAAATGATGACTTTAAACGAGACTGCTGATAATCTTGTTACATCAACTTGTTTGTCGATATCTTACCTCGTCTTAGAAAATTGTTCATACGACATACGTAGAGCAGGCTCTTGCGTATCGAATCATCTGAGATATATAAACTCCGCATGCAGGTGATGAAAGTATATTGTTCACTAGTAAAAGAAATTGACGATTGAAATGATTAAGTCGCCATATTTATCACAAAGCTTGATTGTTAGATTACCATTAACGTCTTTTCAAGTAAAACATTTAAAATATGAAACAGATGTGTCAGACTATGGGGTATATATTATATCAAGCTCACCTGTAAAATATCGTATCGATCTATAAGAATGGAAATAACATTGTTAGCTGACAAAACGTCGTCGATCGATATATATATCAAAATGTCCAGTTGAAAGCCACAGCAAGTGTTTTCTTTTTTTTCATGAATTTAATATTTTGGACCAATTCTGCTTCATATGAATACAAAAATACTACTTACTTACTTATCCTCTTCGTGCCCCGGAGGACGCATGAGGGCTGAACACTGAAAAATATAGGTCTGCTAATAACGCATCGTCGCAAACCACGGCCAAATGTACGATCCTCTCCCATTCTGGAGAGAGCTATATGCGGACTCCGGACCGTGGCTTGAGACGATGCTAATAACGGTTTGTTCCCATCTCGCCTTAACTGTAAAATTTAGCATTCCCATTTCGCCCTAGTAAGCTCTCAGGTGAATTAAGGTGATGAAGATTTAAAATATTTAGCATAAAGTATTTTTTTAAATACTTGGTGTTAAATGTATTATTTCATTCACTGTATTCATAAATTTCAATTAACTGTTAAATTCAATCTAATTCAATTCTTAAAATTTAAATTATAATAATTTTTACAAATATTAAAATTCCCATTTCGCCTTAGTACTTTTTGACTTTTTCTTACCTGAATTTCACAGTTAAGGCGAAATGGGAACACACCCTAATAACGGGGCGCAGTATTGGCACCCATGCATGGAATTCCATGCAATAGTCTGAATAGATTGTTGGAAAACTTGGTCTCCAAAAATCACATAGATATTGGCAATAAGAAACTCTTGAAAGCATCTTTTTAATGCCAACTTCAGAGTACTTAAATTGTGTGTACAATGTTTTAAAAAAAATGATTTTGCAAATGACCAATGACAATGTACATAAGTATATAAATTCCATCAGGGATTTTATATACTAACTGTATACAGGTCCCTATACTTCCAATTACATTGAAAAAGCAGCTGTCCCCCCTAATTTTACAAAGATACGCATTGAAAATGGGGCGTAGGTTTGGCCCCCACCCCCTCTCAACATATAGTAAAAGACGGGTAAGTGTCAGTGTTTGAAAAAAAAAATTGTACTGAAAGTAGTTCGATCCACCCCACTCCCAACCCCCATGTCCGTTTTGACCTGTAGTTTTTTATTTAATACTATAAATAACATCGGGTTCAAAATTCACTAAATAAAATCTGGCAGACGGTAGGAAGTGATGTTGATTGCTGTCTTTGATTGAGAAAGTTATAATTTGCTGCAATCATATTTTTTTAGTTTATGCAGTTAGAAGCTTATGCATATTAAATGTTGTTTAGAGGTGTGAAATCTTTGGCTGTGATGACAGGCCGACTATGGTGAGGTATCTTGGACTTGATTATCTCGCTCTGGTGAGTTAAAATGCTTACCATCAGAGATTTTGTATAACATTAGATAGAATGTTCTATCGTTAAAATGATATTGTCCTACGGACCCGGTTTAACGATAGAATTCGTTCCGTGTATTCGTAATGTAGCAGAAAGAAACACGGGCGATAGTGCATTTACTAGGAACAATCTAGAGAGTTCCGAATGTAAACATTTGAATGGAGAGAAAAACGTTGAGAAAATTAATTGGATTTACGTATTTATATGGATTATTTTTTTTTGGATAAAAGGAATAAGCAATCTCAAGAAGGTTTGTTTTGATTATTTTGGTAGTTATTCCCAGTGCAAATTTTTATATTCTTCAAAATCGTTTCGGAGCGGATCCGCTCCGATTTGCTACGTTGCAAGTATATGGGACGTATTCTAACTGTGGTGAGGGCCTGTACCGAGACACAGTTAGATTATTCTAACTAGTATAACATCTGCTTTATTTAAATCTTTTAATTTAAAAAGGGTTACTGTTATCTGAATAAATCTGATATTTGCACCAATACCAGCAACAAGTGTGCTTATTCGGAATCAAGTAGACTTCTGTTTACATTTCAGTACTCTTAACCACAGGTACTTGCGTCGTGGTACGTTCCATTATAAATGTGCAGTGGCGGACCCAGAAGTTCATGTGGGGGGGGGGGGTTGAGGCCCAAAGGACCGAAGGGGGAGGGCATGGGAGGGGTGTCCCCCTCCCATAGGTGGGGGTTCGGGGCCTCCCCCGAGAAAATTTTGTTTTAAATGGTTCTAAATGGTGCATTTTCCAGCATTTTGGGGGTACTTTTTGTAGCTTTTTTAAAGACCGATCATTACAAATTTTTAATAAAATGTTTTCAATTTAATTTAAATTTAACACAAGACTTTAGAATTTGCTTTAAAAAAAATGTTAAATCTGACAATTTTAGGAATGCAAGCAGTTGACTTCAAGTTGTCTTTACTTTAAATGCACCTACAATTAATTTAGTCCTATGTCAAGCTGACTTCCAAGATACAACTAATGTACCAAATTTTTAAACACTAAAAAAATTAAAAATTGAATTCTTTTCAGAATCCCTAACTTGTGCTTTTCGACTTACTTGAGTATATACTGTCAATATGATTTGGAATATAAACACACGTGTACAATTAATGAAATTTCAAACTGTCTTAACTGAAGAAAAAATTTACATAAACGGGAGAATCTGTCGAAACTAGAGGGGTTTGCTAAGCCAACCTGGGTTTTTAAAAAAATTATATTACTTTAATTTTAAAACGGTAAAAAAAAAAAAAAAAAAAAAAACCTGAATAATAGTTTATTCATAGTTTAAAAAAACATGCATTTTATCAGCAAAAGAATATTACTGAGCAGCACCGTAACTATGCAGTTTTCTGTTGTTGGTACCTGATTACATTGTACAGTGACCTTGTGACTTCACTAGATGCACGGACTACCCGATCTCTGAGGCACTCTCTCTGTTGATTACCTGTGTATTGAGTGCGTTCAAGCGGAAAGAGATTTCCTGTTACGTAGTGGATGTATATTTCACAGTTGTACAAACAAAGGGTTTATGTTTTTAGAGTCTTATCAATGCAACAAAATGATAAAATGACACTTGTAAAAAAAAAAAAAAAAAAAAAAAAAATGAGCGGGGGGGTTTTCCCGAACCCCCCCAAACCCCCCTGAATCCGCCCTTGATGTGTAGGTATAATGTACCTTATTGATATACTTTTTTTTTACGTATCAATAAGGTACATTATACATATTTGTAAACCACGACCCAAGTACCTGTGCTATTAACATGATTAAGGATCCAGCATTCAACCAAAAAACATCTCTACATAAAACTGGATATTTATTATTTAGTTAGATGTATGTAGAAATTTGTTTTGTTATTCATTACAAGATAAAGTTGGAGAAGAGAAGATTGTTCCGCCAAGCCTGTTTATCTGTACCAGGGACCTGTGATGAAGTCTGCTCGGACCAATGTCTAAACAAAATCAGATCTCCCTGGCGGGAAGGTGGGGTAGTCATTGACTTGATTGAATATAATATGCACTATGGTTATCATATGATGAAAAGAAATTCCCAATTTTACAGTTTGATATAGAGTTTACAGTTCTGCATGTAGCTAATCTGATAAACTGTTACTCTGTAAGGTAGAGAATTGATTTTTCCTGTTTCATTTTTTTGCTGAAGCAAAGTTAGATGCCACCATTTTATTGGGGGACTCTAATCCACCGGTGGACAGCCTGTTCTCAGAACTCGACTCTCTCAAGTCATGTCATCTGGAGCCTTATGGGAGGGAGGGGCCCAGTCTGAGGACTTCCTCCTCACCCCATGTTCAGAGGACAGAGGAGGAGATTGAGTTTGAGGACCGGGGCTATCCCAGTGAGGACCTGACACTGTACGGAGATGAGGACCTGGTATGGTACGGAGACTTTGATCTGACAGACACTGTAGTCACTGAGGAGGAGGGAGCTAAGGAACCTTACACTGAAGAATTCCTTACTGAGTCAAATTATTCTGGTAATTGGGGATGTGAGAGTAACATCATGAATTTATAGAATGTAGAAACATTATAGAAATAGTTTTCTTTTGTTTGTTATTATGAAGAGCGGGAGAAATCAAGGGAGACAATTTATATTTGGTGATAAGTTTTATTTAAACTACGTCACTTCAAACAAATATTTATTTTTCACTCCAAAGAAAATTCAAAATACTGTTCACAAATTATACTGACTAATATTGAAAAAAGTTTTCTTTAAAAAAAATTTCAGATGATTTATTTGAGGAGATCATTGTTGATGTTGATCCTATTGCCCCACACCTCGACTCACCGAAGACACTTATCAAAGGTCTTCAACCCCTCCCTCTACAGGACCCACTACTGCAACCGAGGGAGGAGGAAAGGTGAGTACCCATACATGTATTGATATATTTATAGTGACTTCATCTTATATCATTGGTAATATGAAATCTTTAAAAATTCAGATTACTAGATATATTGTAATTATATTAATTAGGTGTGATCTACCTGAACTTAGTACTGTGCATGACAAAAGCCACAAACATCCAGAAGAACAATTCATCAAAGTAGACCTATATCAAGAAAACATCATGGTAATTTTTTGAAACTGGGAAAAGTGTTTTACATTGAATATTCTTGGTTTTAACCCATTATTTGAATATGTTGAAAGAACATGTTTTGTAGGAGCCTCCACTGGTTACACCTGGAGAGTTTGAACACCAGGAGATATCTATATCAAGCCTGCATCAGCTGTCTCCTCTTCCTTTAGGTAAAAACAAACAGAAGCCACAGAGCAAACTTAACATAATGTATATTCAGCATGACATAATGCAAGTGGCACATACATACCGCATATTCAGGGAGAGGTTTTTTAAGTTGCAAGAACTTGTTACCAATCCCATTGTATAAATTATACAATAAAATATGTTCAAAACAAAAACATACCGCCAGAACAAATTAAACATGAATACAAAATATGGAGGGATGAAGGTTAGACAGAATATAGACAAAGATTAGATAGAATATAGACAAAATATAGAGGATGGACAAAGGTTAGAGAAGATATGGAAAGGAAAAAGTTTGATTATAGGCAAGGTTTAACAGAGTTTAGACAAAATTTAAACAAAGATTAGAAGGAATTTAGGTTAGTAAATAGAATATAGAAAAAGATTAGAATGCAAACAAAGGTAAGAATGATGTAGTCAAAGACTTAATTTAGAACAAGGGATAGACAGAAAGTGGCCAGAGGTTAAACAGAAACAGATTGTTCTAATGACTTTGAAAATATTTGTGAAACACTATAATGGCCACAATTTTTGAAATGAAATAAAGTGTGGCATTTTGGGGGTCTCAATGAAGGTTTAAAAAAATATATATATGTATGGTATTGACTTTTAAATTTTTTTGCTAAATATATAAAGACATGGTAGTATCTTAAGCTCATTAAATATTCTGTCAGTGTTACATTTGCCAGAGAATATGTGGAGAAAAAGTGTCACTACAATTCTCAGGTAAGCTTGAACTTTCAGTAAGGCGTGGCATTCTCGACTGACGACATTGCATAATTACTGTCTTAAATTTACACAGTTTTCATTCACTGTTGAAAAATACATGGGATAGAAATTCGGCAAATGTCAATAAGTGTAGAAATTAACCAATACAGCATCTTGCACGGCAAAGAGATGGGGCTTAAGTCATCTCATCGTTGTCAACAACAATTTAAAGTTCCTGATGTTACTAATTTCTTAAACAATGAGAATGTATTTGCCATTTGACAGATGCTTATTATGTAGAACTAACAATGCCACACCTTACTGAAAGTCCAAGGTTAACTGAGAATTCTTCTGATAATAATATGTTTTCAGTATTAAAAATATAATCAAAAACTTTGTATCTGTTCAGATGAGCATTTGGAGGCTACCACAATAAAGAGTGAGTTGGATGATAAGTCCATGCTAGAGAGTCTGGTAGTGGACAGACAGGACAACTGTTATACCTCCAGAGAGATCTCAAATGAAAAGTTTGAACTGAACCAAGAGTATGATGGAGGTAATGTAGAGTTTTAATATTGAAAGGAACATGAAGTTTGATTTTTTTAGGTTAGATTCATTATTTTGAAAACTCTACAGAATGTTGAATGTTGTTTTCTAACAGAGATCGTGTGCCCTGGGACTGAGATCATTGGTCTGGAGTCACCACTGCTACCCACAGCAGTGTGTGCCATGCTTCCATCTATCGGAAAACTTGCACCCTTACCACTTCCAAAGTAAGTACCCTATATTTTAAAAAAAAAATTAAACCCCTACCACATGTAAAGTAGGCATTCTTTTCACCATAGGAAAACTTACTACTTTACCATTTACAAAGTAGTATATCAAACTGTTCGTGCAAGCCAAATCTTAATTATTATCCTATAAAACATTTTAAACATATACTTGAATCACATTTAAGTATTCCAGGACATTTTAACTAATTTTATTTTTTAAAAGCTGTAGAATAAAAAAATCTTGAATGAATTTTTAGAAGGTCAGATTTTATGTTACTCTCACGAGGAACCTTGAGCCACCAGCTGATACAGTCAGATGTCAACTTTGACCTCAGATGTATAGAAAAATGTAGATTCTCTGGTAAGGCCAGGTAAAATTAATCTTTAGATTCTCATCCTAATTTGCTAAAAAATTGGGGCGGGTGGGCGGATTTTATTTTTTATTTTTTATAATTGTTAAATTGTAAGTATTAACATGATTAACAAAACATGGACTCTTCGTACACATTTTTTCATTATGTTAATGCCAATATGAATAGATTTCATTTTTTTCATATTCTTTTAAATATTTTAAAGAAAATTCTTGCTTAAATTATTAGATATTTATTGTTAATTAACAAATTATCAAGTACACATATACTGTAGATCACTTAATTTTCGCAACACCTTATTTTCGCGAGACAGTCATTTACTCTTTATCAGCGAGACAAAATTTTCACGAATTGTGGTCAGTACCTTATATAATCTTAAGGAATTCTATTATACGCGAGAATGAAATTTTCGCGAGCATACCGTCTCGCGTAATTACGCGAAAAGTGCGAATAAAAAGTGATTTACAGTACGTACGGCATACGCAAAACAAAATGAGGTGGGGTTCTGATATCAATAAATTTTGTATGCATGACTTCTAATCGGCCTTTCCCTAAATACCCTTTAGTTTTACCAACAAATCCCTGTGTTTTCTGTAAAATATCATAGATTTCCACCTTCCTCAAAAATTGAATCGTTCTTGAGACTTGACATGTTCGACAATAAAATAGGTCATATTTACAAAATCTATAAAATATTCTAATGAAATGTCATACCAAAAAATCCAAGGCCTGAACAGGTTTGATATTTAATATTTTCTTAACGCTAAACATTCTCTAAAGCCTGCCTACGATGTTTTATTTTTTTTTCAAATCAAAATCACACACCGTTGAAGATTGTTTAAACTTGACCAGGTGTCATTTTCCATGTCTATTTTTATACTTGGTTTCAAAAAATCTTTAAAAACTTGCTCATGAATGGCAGTGATGGTATCTAGATGTGTTTATTATGCAATTATTTTTTCTCTGCTTTCTCTATACTGACAAATAATCTTTTCCTTACATATTTAAACTGCTTTTATTGCCGATTTTTCTCCATTCTTCACATGGCTCTTTTGCTATAAATAGCGACATGCGACTTTTAATACAGACGGGAGATAACTCTTAAACTTCACCTAAATTCTTACTGAATAAAAAAACATGAAAATGCCTTTATTAACACCCAAAAATCAAAATAAAAAACGCCGGGGCGGGACATTTTGAGAGGGGCGGGCGGGGATGAGAATCTAAAGATTAATTTTATCTGGCCTAAGTTTGCAAATATTAGATGTTCTTAGTGCATTACTTGTTTATTGTTATAAGTATATTGATTTAATGAATCAAGATGATAAATGTAAAACAGAAATTAGTAATAATACTCAGAAATATAAATTATTTGACACAGAGCCAGTAATGGAGAGTGTGGAGTATCTCCACATGGAGAGACTACACAGAGAGTGGAGGGAAGTCGCTGTACAGAAGTGGAACGGGTGGAGAGTGGAGTTAAATCTGTCATGGAACATCCACCCCCCACCTGAGGACAGACTGGATCAGAATGAGGCAGTTGTCAAGTACATAAATGAGAAGAAACAAAGAAACATAGGTATTAAAAACTTTTATCATAAAACAAAGGAAAGGTAAAAACCTCGTTTTGATTGACACATAAAACGAGGATTTGGGAAAATTATTTTCCAAATAATGACCACTAAGATTATGTACAAACATTTATTGTAATGTTTTTGAAAATAAATGTTTCAAGTATAACTGAATACTAAAATTGAAAGAACTCATGATTTTGCTTTTTTTTTTTATTATAGATGACCTAGAGAAATTTTACATGAAAGATTTACTGGAGTTATCTCCCTTAAATTCCTTGAATGATTTTCATGAAGACTTGGAAATTTCAATTATTGAGCATGCTGACCATAAATTGACACATTTAGAGCACAGTGGACTAATGGGTTATATTAACCATTTTAGCACCCCCAAAAACAAACAAAGCAAAGACAGAAAATCAGATGACTGGCCTATGGATTCCTTATCATTATCAAGCCCCCAAAAAACTTTTGAAGTTAACAATGAAAATGAAAAAGATAAACACCAGTCATCTGTTTATACTGAGAATAAGTTACAGGAGGCCAGAACTGAAGTCTCCTCAGTGGAAACTCAAAGCCTAGAGGAGACCAGGAGTTCAGAGGAGAAAATCATAACATTTACTACCTCCAGCAGTGATGAATGCATAGCATCTGTAGACCAGAACATTGATAAACTCGCAATACCTGTGGCTGACATCCCTAAAAGAAGTAAAGGCCCGATGGCCTGGACCACAGTGGGACTGGGAACACCTGTTACTCAGAGTTCAGACAGAGTAAGATCAGTAATGCTGGAATCCAACAGCCCTAAAGAGTTCAGGACACTCGGATCAGTAATACCTGAATCTCACAGCCCTAAAGAGTTCAGGACACTCAGATCGCTACAGGATCCTTTTATGGATTCTCCTCCACTATTCAGCACTGCTAGGGACAAGGCGCAGCCTCTAAATAATAAATGTGTGACAAACAAGGAAACTCGGAACCAGCATATACAGCATGTTGATGAATACAGTCATCAGAACACTGACCTTAATAGAACCAACAGACTAGTGTCACATAAACAAAGTATGCCAATAGATTCTCAATCTGACAAGAGTATAAAGGATAGGCTGACTATGGGACCAGTAAGTGATGGGATTAATTCAAATCAAATGTTTGATGGTAATCAGTCAGTGAAGAGAGCTGACAGTTGTCAGGTGGCTGGGGCTGACTCTCATAGCAGTCAAAGTGTACAGACCAGTGCAATAGTGAATAACTCTGTAGATACACAGAATAGTAGGAGAGAGGGTGAACCTAAGGATGTACCACGGAAAAGTCCAAAAATCAGACCTCCGAAAACAAGGACTAAATGTATAGATTACCAATTAGAAGGTAAATATTTCTTATAAATTATGCAAGTGGAATATTGTGAATTATAAATGTTTTTATTAAGGCCATAATAAAAATATTCCTAGATTCTCTCCAATTTTAAATTTTTTTTATTTCTGTTTTTCTTCGTCTTAATTCTGATCGACTACATCTACCATTCTACTTTCGTAAATCCCGCGAGTCGACATGATTTTGACAGCAATTACTGTAATATATGGTAAATATTTTTACTATGACTTTATTCAAGTGGAATATAAAAAATAAAATGAAAAAATAAAAAATATAAATGTTTTTAAAAATAAGCAATTTATTTATTATGGCCTAATAAGCAGATTTTTCTATGCATTAGATACACAAAAATTGATTAGTTTCATGTTTATGTTCACTAGTGCTAACACAGTATCTTATTTTTAGGAGAATATGAACAAGTTGCCAATCTGATTGCTGAATATGCCTCCTTTTTCATCATGGCCTTGGTGAACAGTGGTGACCTTGACAAATCCGTGTCCTTCACCTCACTGACCCCTGACGCCACAAGATACCTAGTCAAGGAGGTCACCAGTCAGCCACAGAAACCACACTGTCATTATCTTTGTCATTCTAGTATTAGTTTTATTGAAAGCACAATCATAATCAGAACATGTAAATAGTGTGGGTACCTTGAAAGTTACATGCATAGTGATGTTTATTGTGTTTGAAACAGAAATTATTAAAAAGTATTGAATAGTTATTTTAGAGCTCTAGAAAAAGCTGAATTACCTCTCTCATTCTCTTTGTTACAGATGAAGAAAGGTACCGTTCCTGCCTGGCATTACATACACTGTGTTGTGCTGTGGAGATGCTTGGAGTGGCTTGTCTTGAGTCCTGTCTGGAACTGTTGTCTATCATACAAGAAAAGTACAAAAACTGTCTTAAAGGTCAGGAAATAATTTGAGTTGATGAAGAAAATTATGCCTCACAGCAATTTAATTGTTATTTTTGTATCCATATTATTACCATTCTCCTTGTGGGATGAGCGTTTTTTTTTTTCTGTTTTGTTTTGTTTTTTTTAAAAAAAAAAAGAAGTCCTAGTTCTTTACAATTTTATGAGATGTATAGTCATGGAATATGTTGAGCACAGAGAATGGTTGACAATACACTTTATTACAGGCTGTTTAGAGACCCTCAGACAGAGACTGTTTTCTGTGAAGCTGAGGTATGACCAGGAGAGAATCCTGCATCCTAAGATTTACCATGTCTGTCTGTCTGTCCATAAGAAGCTGACAGGAAAAGATACAGAGAGACTAAGTCACACTAAGGTATTGATCATTAATTTATACATGTATCAGACTGGGTGAATTAATGGAAATGTAATTAAATAAGTAATCAGTATCTAGGAATATTGCTTTCATTTGTTTGTTTAACATCATAATTTGTGATCATGAAAAAAGCCTTGGATCCAATGATGTGATCTTTGCTGTTGCATTTCCCAGTGAATTTGAGTCAAGATTTCAACAATGTAATTAATTTCATAATATATGATAAAGAGTGTTCCCAAGTAATTTGAATTGTTTTTCAGATACTGGTGATTTTGAGTAAAGATTTGGACAGTTTGTTTAGCACTCTGGAGCTGAATTTACAGAGAGTGGTCAAAGTCAAGGTTTGTGTGCAGAACACAGGGGACTGTCAGGGTATACTAGACAAGTGAGTACCATAAAGATCTATAATATATTAAGGGATCCTCTGAAGACATCAAATTCTGAATTTTTTTTTTGTATTTTTATGCACTTGAGTAATCAGTTTTCATTTAATTAAAATCAAATAAAAAAAATCAAAATCTACATGATTTTTTGGTACTCAATTTGAAATCATTCAAGCTTCCTTAGCATATAGTTAATCTGAAGTAAATTAATTTGTAACATTATCAATTTTTACCCCAAGAGAACCATTGTCATTTGCAACTGAGGCACAACCATTTTCGTCTAAACCATTGTAACTGTATGTTGTTGAATTTCAGTTTTGTTCATTGTAACTCTATGTTGTTGAATTTCAGTCTTGACCATTGTAACTGCATGTTGTTACACCAGGATCGTATTGGTTCTGACTTCCCCTGGTCCCAGTTCTCCCTGATTATAGAGTATGAAGGAGACAGATTCTTACAGCTGTGTCAGAGACAAAATATCAAATACATACACTTCTCATATACCCCAATAGCTGCCAGGACAGGTGCATGTAAGTAAAAATGCATTTCATGTGAACATTTGGTTCAATCGAGCTCTAAAATGTTAAGTGGTTAATGACAAAAAATATCAGTTCTTCAATGGATCGGGGGGGGGGGGTCTGCACATAGGACAACAAGAATCATTTAGATTTTCAGTGTTTTTTTTTATTCCATGAGCTTTGCATCATTAAAGCTCAAACTTGAACAGAAAAAGAGGTATGACACATTTGTTTATTCACTTCCAAATTTGGCAGAAAAGCACACTGAGTCATTGCTTCTTAATTTTGCTAATTCTATCTGAAATATTGATTTCATTTTTAGGTCACCTGAGTAACTCAGGTGACCTATTGCTATCCGTTTTCGTCCGTCGTCGTCCGTCGTGTGTCGTGTGTTAACATTTGAACATTTTCAGCTTCTTCTCTGAAACCACTGAAGTAATTTCAACCAAATTTGGTATACAGCATCTGTGGGTGGAGGGGAACAAAAGTTATGAATTTCATGGTCCCCGCCCCCCTGGGGCCTGAGGGGTGGGGCCAAAACCACTAAAATTAATGAAATCCTTAAAAATCTTCTTCTTTACTCCTGGACATCAAGCAGGCAAACTATTGGCATGAATGTAATGAGCATTGAGTCCTCTACCATTCATGGCCCCAGGGTCAGGGGTTCTAGTGCTAGGGCAGGGCTCTATAGATAATATAGTGAAAATGCATTATTTCTTTGAAAATCTTCTTCTCTGCTCCTGGGTATTAAATACACTAACTAAGCACATAGTTATGATGAGCAAGAGTGCCTCTTCCAAAATTGTGAATTTTATGGCCCCAGGGTCAGGGGTTCTGGTGTTAGGGCGGGGCTCTATAGATTATGTAGTGAAAATGCATTATTTCTTTGAAAATCTTCTTCTCTGCTCCTGGGTATTAGATAAACTAACTAAGCACATAGTTATGATGAGCAAGAGTGCCTCTTCCAGATTTGTGAATTTTATGTTTCTGGTGTTAGGGCGGGGTTCTGTAGATTATATAGTGAAAATGCATTATTTCTTTGAAAATCTTCTTCTCTGCTCCTGGGTATTAAATACACTAACTAAGCACATAGTTATGATGAGCAAGAGTGCCTCTTCCAAAATTGTGAATTTTATGGCCCCAGGGTCAGGGGGTCTGGTGTTAGGGCGGGGCTCTATAGATAATATAGTGAAAATGCATTATTTCTTTGAAAATCCTCTTCTGTGCTCCTGGGTATTAAATACACTAAATAAGCACATAGTTATGATGAGCAAGAGTGCCTCTTCCAAAACTGTGAATTTTATGGCCCCAGGGTCAGGGGTTCTGGTGTTAAGTCGGGGCTCTATAGATTATATAGTGAAAATGCATTATTTCTTTGAAAATCTTCTTCTCTGCTCCTGGGTATTAGATAAACTAACTAAGCACATAGTTATGATGAGCAAGAGTGCCTCTTCCAGATTTGTGAATTTTATGGCCCCCAGGGTCAGGGGTTCTGGTGTTAGGGCGGGGCTCTATAGATAATATAGTGAAAATGCATTATTTCTTTGAAAATCTTCTTCTCTGCTCCTGGGTATTAAATACACTAAATAAGCACATAGTTATGATGAGCAATAGTGCCTCTTCCAAAATTATGAATTTTATGGCCCCAGGGTCAGGAGTTCTGGTGTTAGGGTGGGGCTCTATAGATTATATAGTGAAAATGCATTATTTCTTTGAAAATCTTCTTCTCTGCTCCTGGGTATCAGATTAACTAACTAAGCACATAGTTATGATGAGCAAGAGCGCCTCTTCCAAAATTGTGAATTTTATGGCGGGTCAGGGGTTCTGGTGTTAAGTCGGGGCTGTATTGATTATATAGTAAAAATGCATTTACTCTTTGTAAATATTTTTCTTTGCTTCTGGGTTTTAAGCCAATGATCCAAGTATATATATATTTATGATGAAGAAAGGTGCATCTAGCAAAGTGGTTTTTAATGCCCCCAGGGTCAAAAGGGGGGGGGGGGGGTTACATAGCCTGAAAATAAATTAATGCTTTGAAATCTGCTCTTTGGTATTTATCAACCATTTTATGATAAAATTTGCAAAATTTTGAAATATATGGCCCTGGGTCAGTGGTTACTTTGGGGTGAGATGCACAACTGGTTATAAAGTGGAAGTGCATTTTCTCTTTTTTTCTCTGATCTACCTCTGGGTATTAAGTAAATAGAGTAAGCATGCTAAGTTAATAATTATGATAAGCAATGGTGCCTCTTTCAAAATTGTAAATTGTGAATTTTATGGCCTCTAATTTAATTGTTTGAAAGTTGTTACACAATACTCAGGTGACCTATAAGGCCCGTGGGCCTCTTGTTTATATCCAAAATAAGTGGGAGGGAGATCTATTATGTGTAACCTTCTGGTCTGCAGTTTAATTTTTTTGCCCATAATATTGAGCTAGTTTTTAAACACAACAATGTCCTTACAAAGTATGTACATGTTAAAACAATGAAATAGAAAACGATATCTTAATTGTCCAAATTGAAATCTCTTTGTTTTGTTATTTTTGGTCTTTTGTAATCAGTGTCAACTGCCTAATTTAATTGTTTTGTAGGTAAAAGTATTCCAAAAGTGAACATGACAATCATGTGTTCTAACACAGTACCAGAGGGCTTGGTTCACCTTTTAGAATCTAAGTAAGTTTTATTTAAATGTAAGACAAGGGGAAGTAAATCTGTGCAAACCTAATTTCAAAGTAATTTTGTATTATGTTATATGTTTTGTCTTTGTTTAACTAGGTATGGTGTGACCTGTATCTTCAGAAGCCCTGGGGTGGGGCTGACCCTCCCTTACATTATGATAGATGAAGTAACTTGTGTGGTCATGTATGATGTGTCTGTGGTTGGTATGGACTTTTCCACTCTGCTGTCAGAGTTATCCTTCCTGTCTCAACAATTCCGAGACACTCTTATCATTGCCAGCACCCAGAACTTTAATCAGCCTCAGTAAGTCTGTTGTTGGAACTAATGAAACAAATTTCATTACAGTTTATATTTTTAGGTCACCTGAGTAAACTCAGGTGACCTATTGCTATCTGTTTTCGTCTGTCGTCGTGCATCGTTCGTCGTGCGTTAACATTTGAACATTTTTAGCTTCTTCTCTGAAACCACAGAACCAATTTCAACCAAATTTGGCATATAGCATCTATGGGTGAGGGGGAACAAAAATTTTGAATTTCATGGTCCCTGTCCCCCTGGGGCCTGGGGGGTGGGGCAAAAACCACTAAAATTAGTGCAATCTTTAAAAATCTTCTTCTTTACTCCTGGACATCAAGCAGTCAAACTGTTGGTATGATTGTAATCAGCATTGAGTCCTCTACCAAAAATCTTTTTTTCTGCTCCTGGGCATTAAATAAACTAACCAAGTGCATAGGTAAGTTGAAAATGACTGTGTTTTCCAAAATTGTGAATTTCATGGCCCCAGGGTCAGGGGTTCTAGTGCTAGGGCGGGGCTTAACAGGTTACATGTATATAGTGAAAATGCATTATTTCTTTGAAATTCTTCTTTTCTGCTCCTGGGCATTAAATAAACTAACCAAGTGCATAGGTAAGTTGAAAATGACTGTGTTTTCCAAAATTGTGAATTTCATGGCCCCAGGGTCAGGGGTTCTAGTGCTAGGGTGGGGCTATGTAGATTATATAGTGAAAACGCCTAAATTCTTTGAAATTCTTCTTTTCTGTTTGTGGGCATTAAATAAATTAACCAAGTGCATAGTTATGTTGAATAAGACTGCCTCTTTTCAAATTGTGAATTTTATTGTCCCAGGGTCAGGGGTTCTAGTGCTAGGGCGGGGCTATATAGGTTATATAGTAAAAATGAATTATTTCTTTGAAAATCTTCTTCTTTGCTCCTGAGTATTAAATAAACTAACCAAGTACATAGTTATGTTGAAGAAGGCTACCTCTTCCAAAATTGTGAATTTCATGGGGGGTTCTGGTGTTAGGGCGGGGCTTTATTGATTATATAGTGAAAATGCATAAATTCTTTATAACTCTTCTTTTCAGCACCTGAGCTATGTACATAGTTATGAGGAGGAAGGATGCCTCTTTGAGATTTTTGAATTTCAGGGTCCCTGGGTTAGGGCTTTTTGTGTTAGGGTGGGGCTCTAATGTTTATATAGTGAAAATGCATGAATTCTTTTCCTATGTTGTTTGGTATGATGCCAATGATCTTAGTATATATTTATGACAAAAAAACCTCCTTCTTCCAAAAATGGTTAATTTCCTGGCCCCTGGGACAGAGGTACTTTGGGGGAGGGAGGTAAAAAGTTTGAAATAATTTAATGCTTTGAAATCTGCACTTTGGTATTAATCAACAGCATGATGAAATAAAATTTTAAAAAAAATTCCAAAATTTTGAAAGATGTGGCCCCAGGGTCAGTGGTTCCTGTGGGATGGGGAGCTCAAATGTGGACCTGCCCCAATGCAAGAAGCCCTGACCCAGGGGCCCTGAAATTCACTAAAAGTGGAAATGCATTTTCTCTTTGTTACTCTGATCTACTGGTACTTCTGGGTATTAAGTAACCAAAATAAGCATGCTGAGTGTATAATTATGATAAGCAATGGTTGCCTCTTTCAAAATTATGAATTTCATGGCCTCTAGTTTAAAACATGAATCAAATTCAATTGTTGGAAAGTTGTCGCATGATACTCAGGTGACCTATAAGGCCCATGGGCCTCTTGTTTCTATTATTAATCAATTTTTACTAGTATTGGTAATCAATTACTTTTAAAACTGATAAATCATCAAAGCATAAAGTGTATTAATGTAGAGTTAAAAAAACAATAGAAGTAAGCACTTTTACATTTAGTATGTTCTCATATGATACTGGGCTTAGTTACTTCTATATAAGTGATGAGAAAATGTTTATAAGTATCAGAAGATTTTTATGAGAAACATTTTTTTTTTTTTGCTCATTTTGCTACAGTTATTCAAATATGATTAAATAAATTTCCATATTTATTGTAGAAGAAATTTAATCTTTTACAGATTAAAATTAAGGCAACATCAACAAAAGTTCAATTTCTTTTTGCGACAAGCTGTCTCTCAAGTAGCTGATCTACAGTATAAGGTATATATTTATATCTACAGTATATTTGTTCAGACAGTGAAAGTAGGTCCTGTTGGCACAGTATGCCAAAGCTAGAGTGGTCTATTGATGAGAAGGGGATATGTTGTTGAGCAATAGATTTGTCTGATTGTTAGTGCATGTATCAACTAGTGGGAGGATGTGTTGTTTGACTGTGTAGTCAGTAGTGCCTTCATGTACAGGTGATGGCTAGTAACAGTCTCCCTATGACAGCTGAGATTGTGGCCAGGTTTTGTCAGATGGTCCTGTCATCAGATGACCAGAACTGGATGTCTGCCTCTCCATCACAGGTACGTGTGTTCATCCTATAGCAACAAGACCAAATTCAGACATCATACACTGAGAGTTCAGTCTGTACCTTCCTTATGCACACATGACTACCAATAAACTATGTTTGAATTAAGATGACCTGTAGATTTGGAAAAGAGAAATGAATGTGTGTAATTGCTTGTGGATTTGTCTAAAAACATGCAATATTTGATATGCCAATGTATAAATAACTTTTGTATTTGATGAACATCTCTTCAGGAGGAACAGTTTTTGACAAGTATACCTTGTATCAATCCTATTTTGTATGTATTTATGTTTTTCATTTCATATACACTTTTCGAATGCATGAAATCGGTATTTTTTATTTAAATATAACAATTGTGTATTCATTAAAATGATGTTTTTCATTTTTTCTTGTTTTATTAAAGATCATAGTATGAAGTTGATTTTGTAATAATTTTGAAACCAAATGTTGTATTGAACCATACCTATCAAATGGCTGATCAATTGGTAGACAACCATTGTATCTTTATAGTACATACCATATTAGCAGAATTTTTATGCCCCCGGAACATGTCTGTCTGTCCGTCTGTCTGTCTGTCTGTCTGTTTGTTTGTCCCCCAACTTTAACCTAGCCCATAACTATTGAGTGGTTGGGGCTATGGCTTTCATAATTCATAGGTGTGTTACTTGTGACATGACCTTTCTTTGGGTACCACCAAATTTGACCTCTTGACCTTGACCTGGGAGATTGACCTACTTTTACAAAAAAATACCAGAGTTTAACCTTGGCCATAACTTTTAAATAGTTGAAGTTAGGGCTTTCATCCTTCACATGTATATTTATTTTGACAAGACCTTTCAGACGGTAGAAATATTTTTGACCTTTTGACCTTGACGTAGGAGTTTGACCCACTTCTTAAAAACATTAACCTCGGTCATAACTTTTGAACAGTTAAAAGTAGTGCTTTTATATTTCACAGGTGTAATTCTTGTAATAAGACCTTTCTTCTGGGTACCACCATATTTGACCTCTTGACCTTGGAGTTTGACCTACTTTTACAAAAAAAAAATACCAGACTGCCCAACTCAAAAATTGTGTTACCACCGGGGGCATAGTGTTTCACAAACACATCTTGTTAGTGAGGATTTAGTGAGAATTTTTAGTGAGGATTTTGGCATTATTAGCGAGGATGCCAATATTGCTAAAATTGAATACCGCTAAAAATTAATTGTGTTTTATTTGTAATAGTATCTTTTAGTGAGCATTTTAAATTTGCTAAAATACATCTTGATAAAAATAAAATACTAATTTTTAAGGACCAGTCGCTAAATATGTGTCTTGGTAAAATTTCCACTTATACAATAACATGTCCATTATTTTTTTGCAGAGCTCAGAAGTTGCTTCAGATTCTTGACCTACAATCTATCCTGGACCTTCACCCAGATCAACTTTGCAGACTCTTTCCTGATGTTCCAAAGAGAATCATTCAGGTCAGAAAAAAAAAAATTATCAGGCAGAGAGGTTTATTGTATGTAACAGAAAGAAATCAATTGGTTATTGTTGAGAAATTTTTCTTCTTCTTCCAAACTTTTGATCACATATGAGAAGGAAATATTTCGTAACTTAATAAATTTTTCATCTGTTGCTATTAAAAATTTTTTTTTTCTTTCCTCCATGTAGATGTTTTATCAAGGTTTAGAGAAATTAAATGTAGAGAGCAATGTATTGGAGAAAGAAATTAGTCAGGAAATTCCCCATTCCCCATCAACACATGCTAAAGAGGAATCCTTTACATCCCATGAAAAAATCCTTCCCAATGAGCAAGATGGTGGGACTCTCAAACACATGTCTGATTATTGTCACGAGTCAGTCCCAAATGTAGAGAAAGATTCTGGTCTTATTTCTACATTCTCCCCTCCCAGCAATTACTCTGGGACTGATTTTGTAAGAAATGTGCAAAGAGGAGTCCAGGAGGAGGTAAGCTGCTGTTTGGAGGACTTCAGTAGAACTGTTGATGGACAAGCCAAGGAGCAAATGGAAGGATGCCGTCCAGGAGGGTATTTATCTGAATTATGTGGACCAACTGATGTAGATATGTCTTACCTATTCAAAAAAGGAAATGTCATGGGAAAAAGTCTTGCAGAACAGTCCTCTAATTCTGAAGTAAATTGGTTCCAAGATGATCTGACTCCAAGGGAAAGATCAAGTGACTCAATTGTGCAGAATCGAAATGAAGAAAATTTCTTCTTTGGAAGGGAAACCCTAGAAAATGAGCAACCTTACTCTCAGATTAACCAAGTATCTGACAACCTGAGGACAGATGATTGGAGTGTCAACTTTGATGACGATATCCAAAGGAACTTATTTCTTAGAAATCAGCATGGTTTAAATTCTACCAATGCATGCAGACATAATAACTTACACACTTTTAATACCCATACTAGTGGTCAGGCGTCACAGAGTTTTCATTCTTCAGATGAATTCAATAAACATGCAACAGAGGATACTTTCCAAACAAATAAAGGAAGTGGTCCATTGGATGATAAAGGTTATCACACAATTGGTGGGAATTTTAGGGACAGTCTCATTGCTACAACTCGACAGTTACTAAAGCAGGCAAGCTTATCATCAAATGACAAAATATTCCCAAGGTCCGGACCAAGAAGAGTCAGCATAGGACTGGCAAGACCCCTACGACAGCCACAGAATACAGGTAAGGGAGTAAAGAAATAGTACAATTAATGTTCTGTTTAATCTGCAGTGAATACATTCTATATATTTTTTTTTTCCTTTAACTTTTGAATATTTTAAAATACTGTAACAGTAAAATAACATATAGATGCCAAATTATAGAAGCATGGATTTTTGAGAGCACTGTTCCTGAAGAGTTAATTTTTTTAGGAAACTACAGTATCCTTAAAACTGTAAAAAACAAATTTAACCTGATAATTTGTTTGGTCAGTGTAATTGATCAAAATTTTTATTTTTAAGATTTTTTAATTTTTAAGATCATGTGACAACTAAAGATGGTCCTCTTTCTGCCTCGTCAAACTCCCAGATTTTAAGAAGTCAAGTACAGCTGAGGCAAAACACAACTCCTTACAACAATGCAGAGGGCAGAATACCAAGTAACACGAACTACTCTATTGATTCAGACTTTGGACAGTCCAGTACTTTAGGGTTAACTTTGAAGCAAAGACAAGGAGTTGAACAAGATGGTATACATAAAGCTCCAGTACAACTCAGCAGCTACAGAACACCATGTCAAAGAGACTGCACATCAAGATACTCAGGTGATAAACCCTCAATGCAGGGGCAGTATGAGCCACAGTTTACTAGGCAAGGTGATCTCTTATTGGAGAATGACAGGGGTCAGCTAGAGAGGTGGCCAGGGTACGACTCCCCACCAATGGACATCGAGTACGATCCTCAACAGGTATATATATATATATATATATATATATTAAAGTACCCTATTTCTATGTAAGAAGTCGCTGATTATAATTACTAACTTTACATAGTAGAGTTGTGTGTTTTTGTTTAATCCCCGTTTTTCAAACTCAGTGGGACCAAGGAAAAGTGGAGAGTTCAAAATATTGAAGGTAAAATACTTCATAAGTGGTTGGGATTTCCGAATCACAATATATCCCTAGTATTTTAAATATCAGTGTTTGAGATCATGTAGATCATTTGTGTCTATAAACCATGTATACCTATATATTATGATAGAAACTAAGAGATTTGCCATGCATTCCAGTGAGAAATGTGCTCAATTCCCAAAGGCTCTGTTAAAACTTTATTCATAGCATGCCAAATATTCATAGCATGCCAATCCACATCAAGGCTGTATTTCATTAATACAGAAAAGGAGACCAACTAAATATTAAATAGAAAGCTATCAATCAAAATGTATAAAAACTAAATTAAAATTTAAAAATTCAGATCTTTTCTTTGATTGTTTGTAACAATTTAATATATTGTTTTCAAAAATGTGCAATTAATTTTTGGTTTAGAAGTCATTTGAGATGATCAGGAATGAGTATTTACATTGTTTATACTTTTGTTGCACATACATGTACATACAGTTACTGTTTTTGTGTTCTTTAAATTTTTATTCAGGAAACTGGCCATGTAGAAGATTTACATTGCTTCAACAAAACTTCAGGTTAGAGAAATAACATTACTCCTTAATTTATTTCTTTGGGGTTAATTATGTTTTGTGTTTTACATTCGTATGTTCTATTAATAACTCAAAGCTAATTGCTATTTTATCAGCAGGATCACGTAAAAGAAAGTTGACTTATGAAAGAGTCCCCAACTCCAAACAAAGCAAGATTGTCTTCAAGTGTTTATAAAATTTACAAACATAAAAAAAAAATATTTTTAGATCCTAACAATGTATATACACCGCCAGGACTTTTACATCTATAAGACAAAATTCTGTACAATGCTGATAACCAAAGATGATTACTTAATGATTTAGAATTGTGCATTCTGTGTTTTGTTAAGATAAAGTATTGGGAAGATTTAATATTAAATGACAAATATTTCAATCAATAAAAATATTTAGAGCACAAAAATGTTTTTTTTTACTTTATGACACCAACAAGCACAATTCTAATTATACAGCAGACCACACTGTGAAATAATAAAAATTTATTTAGATGTTATAAATTTGGTCAAAAGCGTGCTAAACATAGTAGGGGTAAAATGTTAAGGTAACAAGCACTCAAGTGGACAAGCTTAAAAATTAATGTAAAACTGAATTTTGAGCCGATCCAATACAAACCTCTGAAAAGGGAAGGTGGAACAGGTGCTATTTAGGAGTAAGCATCCCCTGTTGATCGGTCACACCCTCTTTGTGCTCCCTGTCACGACATGGTGAACGGGAAAAATGCTTGAAAATAATTTGCACAAAAAGCATCAGTCAACAATTTCCTGAACAACAGACTAAATAAGCAAACAAATTCATTGTATTGAGTGCAAAACTTAGTGTTGAACTCAAGGACATTGTTCATATCCCTATATTATCAGCTTATTTATCAATCGTCTACCTCGTATTAGAAACTATTGTAACGTGTATGGGTCCGTGAATTTGAGTATAGATCCTTAATCAACCAAATGAATTAAACAAATGATTATGTAAACAAGAGATAGATCACTAATTAGACAAATGATTTGAAATGATAAATGACAAAGCATATATGAAAAACAACGAGTCAATATATACATATATTATAAGGATTTCCTATCCTTAACATAAACAACAATTAATGGGCATGTATCTGGTCTGTGTCCTGGATGTATCTGTACCAGTATCAGGACAGGTATGTATCTCGATCCGGGACTCGGATAGGTCGTTGACATGTACGTTTCAGGTTTCTGTCTTATACCCAGACAGATGAAATAATTATAATGAGGTAAATTATCGCTTTATTCCCTCAAAATACTATAATACTTTAGACCCAGTATACTAGCCACCGTATACTGTATTAAATCCTTTAAAATCCCGTACCTTGCAATTACGCTTTTGCCGACCGTAACTTGTGAGCTCCAACTGGCAACTGCCAGCTTTCAGCAGAACGCTCTTATATATAGTGATGATCACCCGGACTACCCTCGGCCGCTATCGTAGCGCACTACGATAAAGTCCGGGTGACGTAATTCATCTAGCATCCCGAGCCCGATCTGTCACATTACCCACGCCTCTATTACTCATGCGTCCTCGCATGACAAAAGAAAATAATGAAATAATGACGTAACAAGATGATAAATGTTTTAATGAAGAAAACATGAGATATATGCAAAATGAAAGCAAGACCATGATTATCTTAAAAGACTATCTGTCTTATAAACTTCGCAGGAAACAGCATAAATCAAAAATTTACATATTATAAAATTCTTCTCTTTCTACAATTTTCTCCACACTTCTGCCATTATCATGAAACTTGGTGACTGTAACCTCTTTCACCCGCATTCTAAAACCTGCAGTCTGGGTCCCCTGATCCACTGTAATGTTTGCATGGGAATCGATCTGCATCCCCCTATCCACAGTCTTCTCAGCATCAGGTTCTGGATCAGGTTCAGATCTGCAGACTACTTTCCGTGTAGTGGGTACTGGGCTAGGTGCGGTCCGCTTTCTGAATATGCGTCCTGTCAGCAAACTAGCGGTTTTAGTGGGGGGTTCAGGATCATTTTCTTTGGACGGTTCCTCCAGCTGTACCCCTGGATCTTCATCCCAGTCACTCCCGCTGTCGCTGTTATTCTGGACTGGACTACTTGGACCTGCCTCATCATCCTCTGGCTCTTTAGACGCATGATCATTTTCTGCATGTTTCAACTTCATGTGCTTCACCAAATATTCCTTCTTCTTAAAGGATACATGACACTTCTCACACACCAACATGCTGCTAGCACACTTCAACACATGAGCGGCCCAGGCATCTTTCCCGTCCAATTCAATGAAACACACTGGACATATCTCTTTAGATTTTCTCGGCGTCACCTTTGTATTAACCATGATTTCACTACAAAGATACATGACAATACATCAATGCAAATAATATCAATATTTTTCATAGAAAAAAAGCAGAACAACTTAAATAATAGCAGGGTTATAAGTACTCTGTAAGCCAATTCACGCATAGTTTTGTAAGTTTAATTCAAGACTTAAAGAAAAACATATATTCATGTCCTAGTCCTGGACATAATCTTGAAGGTAAGTTGGGGCACGTCTTTCGCGTCTGGGTCTGCGATCACCAACTAATTCATCCGTGACTTCAATGTTTCTGTTAGATGACCCAAAGTCATCATCCTGATCCTCTTGATCTATCTGAACATTGGAAAAATCAATTGTCCCTAGCTCTGAACTTTCGAGTCCTAGGTCTGGATCTTCGCTTCGAAGAACTTGATCTCTGCACCTTTTCATCCTGTCGCAATGAATTATCTGATCCTTTCCATTGCGTCCACAATTCACCTTATACAGGACCTCAGAGACTTTTGCCAGAACCTTAAAAGGTCCTCTCCAATATGAAGTGAGCTTAGGTGAGCACCCAGTTTTCCTTTGGGGAAAATAGACATATACCTGGTCCCCAACTTTGAATTGTTCATAGGACATCTTCATGTCATGATAATGCTTCTGTCGAAGGATAGCTCCTTCTAACTGTTTTCTCACCAAATTTTGAGCCCTTTCCATTCGATCAGTCAGAATCCACACCCATTCATGACTCGGTACTTGTTTCCAGGTTGCTGGCATGTCATATATGATGTCCAGAGGGGTGGCAGTTTCTCTACCGAGCATCAGCATGTTTGGCGTGTATCCGGTTGATTCATGCTGTGCCGCCCTGTATGCCATCATCACAAAAGGTATGCTCTCATCCCAATCCCGATGATTCTCGCTAATATAACTACTCAGCATGGTGGCTAAAGTCTTATTGAACCGTTCCACCATACCATCAGACTGAGGATGGTATGGTGTGGTTCTTGTCTTTCGGATCTGTATGTGCTTGCATACCTCGCTAAACAAAAGGCTCTCATATTGACGCCCTTGGTCAGAATGGATGGATACAGGAACTCCAAACCTACAGATAACTTCCTCTACGATCAGTTTCGCAACTGTCTGAGCCTCCATGTTGGGCATCGGAAAGGCCTCTGTCCATTTACTGAAATAATCAGAGACTACAAGTATGTAGCGATTCCCCTTTTCTGTGATCGGAAATTCCCCGAGGATATCTGTGGCTATCCTTTCCATTGGGTAACCCACTTGCAAAGGTTGCATAGGTCCGCGCTTTGTTTTAAGTGGAGGCTTCCTCCGGGCACATATGTCGCATCCAGCAACATAACCTCTTACGTCGCTTTGCAGTCCCGGCCAGTAGTAACTTTGTCTGATCTTGTTCAGGGTTTTGGTCACCCCTAGTTGACAAGATGTTTTGGAGTCATGCATCTGCTGTAAAATAAACCTTCTCTGTGAGAGTGGCATAACAATTTGATATGTCGTGTCATTGCTTTCTTCAAGCTCCCACATGCGAGAAAAGCAAATTATCCTTCAATGCCAATCTACTCCACTGAGCCCACAATGATTTGACCATATAGCTCTCAGCAGTAATTTCACTGTAGTCTGGACGCTTCCCCTCCTCCATCCAATCCTTAACAAGTCTAATATCCCGACTTCCATCCTGTATCTCTATTAGACTTTTTGATTCATCTGTCCCATTGTCTTTGATCTCATCCTGTAATACCCTTGCATGTGATTGTCCCCCATGCAAGTCTTCTTTCTCCCAATCATCAAAATATCCGCATTGGACGCATGGGAGTCTACTTAGCCCGTCTGCATTGCCATGCAGTCTACCAGCTCTATGCTCGATCTCTATATCATATGCCGATATCACCTCTAGCCATCGAGCTAACTGGCCTTCTGGATCCTTGAACCTTAGCAACCATCGAAGAGAACTGTGATCTGTTCTGACCACAAATTTACGTCCATACAAGAAATGTCTAAAGTGCTTTATAAACGTCACTACTGCCAGGAGCTCCTTCCTGGTCACACAGTACCTTCTCTCTGATTTGCTAAGAACTTTACTGGCATAAGCGACTACCCTTTCCTGCCCATTCTGGATCTGAGACAGGGCTGCTCCGATCGCATTTTGACTGGCATCGGTATCCAATATAAAGGGTTTACTGAAGTCTGGATGAGTAAGGATAGGTGCTGTGGTCAACTTGGTTTTTAGGACATCAAATGCTATTTGACATTCCTCTGACCATTTGAAGACAACTGATGCCTCTGTCAGTTTATGAAGCGGTCGAGCTATATCAGCAAAGTTTGCAATGAATTTCCGATAATAGCTACAGAGGCCGAGGAAGGAACGAACTTGAGTCTTATTTACTGGCTCTGGCCATTGCCTCACAGATTCAACTTTCTCTGGATCTGTCTCGACTCCATTCTCCGAAATGACATGACCTAGGTATTTCACTTGTTTTGCAAACAAAGTACATTTTCTTGCCTTTAGCTTCAAACCAGCTGACTGTAACTTCTCAAAGACCTGTTCTAAATTATGTACCATTTCGTTAAATGTTTTCCCATACACAATGACATCATCTAAATAGATGAGGCATATCTGCCATTGTAGTCCTGACAAAACAGTCTCCATAAGACGTTCAAACGTAGCTGGGGCATTACAAAGCCCAAACGGCATCACATTGAACTCGTAAAACCCTTGTCTAGTTGCAAACGCCGTCTTATGCTTATCGCTTGGACTTAGCTCTACCTGCCAGTATCCAGCATTCAGGTCTAGAGTACTGAACCACTTCGCTCCCTTCAGCTGATTAAGCGATTCGTCGATCCGGGGAAGGGGATAGGCGTCTTTGATGGTGACACTATTCAGGCGCCTATAATCCACACAGAACCTTTTGGATCCGTCTTTCTTCTTCACCAAGACTATCGCTGATGACCAATCACTCTTGGACGGCTCAATAATACCTCCTTTAAGCATATCTAATACATGCTCTTGAACTTCTTCCTGCATATGGAAAGGTAGACGTCTTGGTGCCTGTTTGATAGCTGGATGA